CAAGGACCACGTTGGTGACTACTTCTGGCTGGTGGGCCTGGCCAGCTGGGGCAAGGGCTGTGTCGGAGAGAAACGCCCCGGAGTGTTCGCCTCCACCCAGCATTTCCGAGGATGGATCCAAGTCCAGATGGGAATGGTCCCTGCAGACCCCAGCCCCACACCTACAGAGCCACCCCTGACCCCAGCCCCTGCCCTCATGCTGTCCCCAACCATGACCCTGACTGTCATCGAGACGACACCGAAGCCGGAATCGGAGAACTTCATAACAGTTTCATTCCCAAAATCCATCCTGCTGAAATTCTTCGGGAGTCTGCAGAAGTTCCTGGAGTTCCTAAGGGACAAATTGCGTTGACCAGGAGGGACAGCAGATCCAGTTCTGGCTGCAGAGGATCTCCAGCAGCCCCAGCCGGGGCCGTGGCTGTGGGGCCAACCCAGCCCCGGTGCCCAGGGCTGCTGTGCCCTGCCCACGCTGACCCCTGCGCCCACCCCGATGGTGAATCCAGTTTGTTCTTCAATTAGAGTTGTTCCAGTTCCCAGTTAGCCACTGTGTCCAGTTTGGTCTCCTGGGAAAAACGGGGATGGGATAATCTGGGGGAAAAGGGTGGGGTTGGGGTTGGGGTTGGGCCTGGTTTGGGGGAGACAAATGGGAGCCAGGGAGGGGAGGAGGGAGGGGAGGGGAGGATGGGCCTGGAGGTGGAGAGAGGGAGAAGCTGCTCCAGCCCAGGTTCCCCAGCAGAGCCTCAGGTGTGCCATTCCTGGGAAAAGTCCTGGAGAGGGACAGCAATGGGGACAGCTGGAGCTGCCATGCCAGGGTCCTGTGGAGGTGCTGGAAGTGCCACCCTGAGCTGCTGCTGCTGCCACCCTGGGCTGTCCCCTCTGTCCCCAGCTCATATCTCTGAGGCTGCCAGGACCCATCCCACTGCTCCTGCTGCGCCCTCAGTCCCCATTGGGATCCCTGGATCTGGGACATTCCCTGTGCTCCAGAGGGACCCCAAAGGTCCCTCCAGCCCAAACCATGCCCGGGTTCACAGCTCTGTGCTGCCCTCCCCCCACCCGAGGCCACCGAGCCCCGCACATGGAACCGGCCCCTCTGTGACATCACCCCAGCCTGGTGACACTGTGGGCACCACCAGGGTCCTGGGTGTCACCAGAGGTGACAGCTCAGCTCTGGCTCTGCCACCTGCAGTGCTGGCACCTGCGATGGCTTTGCTGTGGCTGCTGATCCTGCTGGCCCTGGCCGGGCCCGTGGGGGGCACCTGGGACACCTGCAGGTCAGTGGCCCTGGGGGGCTTGGGGACCCTCGGGGCTTCCCTGACACAGCCTGGGCACAGAGGAGCCCCTGGGGGTCCCTGTCCCTGCTGTCCCCGAGCAGGGCAGTGATGGCTTTGTGCTTCCAGAGGCACCTGCGGGCTCCGGCCTTTGGCATATGACCACAGCTCGCTGGTTCGGGACTACGACCCCACGGCTGATGACTACACACCTTTGTCATCTTCTGATGGCACTGCCGTTGATGTGGCCAGCCCTGGTGTCCCCTCAGGGACCTGGCCTGGCATCGTCAGCGTCCAGGCCACCTGGGACAATGGCACGTGGCACATGTGCTCGGGGGCCCTCATCCACCCCCAGTGGGTGCTCACGGTGGCGCGCTGCTTCATGGACACCCAGTAAGGAGGAGCAGGGACAGGGATGTCCCTGCAGGAGGGACGGGAATGTCCCCACAGCAGGGTCAGGGATGTTCCCACAGCAGTGTCAGGGATGTCCCCCCAGCACAGGGAGGTGCCCCGAGCAGGAAGGGAATTGAGCTGCCACAGTCTGTGGCTCTCTTCCATCAGTTCCTCCTCTATCTCCTGCTCCCCAGGGACACCTCTGCTTGGAAGGTGCTGATTGGGGCCACAGATCTGGCCCAGCCGGGCCCCGAGGCCCAGTGTCGCCACATCAGGAGGGTCCTGAAGCACCAGGACTACAGCGATGCCTCGCCAGGCAACAACATCGCCCTGGTGGAGCTGGACCAGCCCGTGGAGTGCAGCGACTACATCCAGCTGGCCTGTGTGCCTGACAGCTACCTGCCAGTGTCCGAGCTGAAAACCTGCTATGTGGCAGGCTGGAGAGCCACCCCAGAGAGTGGTCAGTGCCCACCCGGGGCTGGCGACAAGTTGGGGACCACAGGGACGTGGCCGGGTGGGCCCAGGGCAGAGGCCAAAGCTGCGGGAAGTGCCGGGCCCTCTGTGCCTGGAGGCCTGGGCAGGGACACAGAGGGACAGGGGCACAGGCCGGGCCTAGGCCAGGGGCTCTGCCCAGGGAGGTGCCAGGTACTCAGTGCCCTCTGTGCCCACAGCCCCGACCCCGGCACCGGGCCTGGTGCTGCAGGAGGCCAAGGTGCGGCTCATCGACGTCCAGCTGTGCAACAGCAGCCGCTGGTACGGGGGGGCCGTGCACCCCCAGGACCTGTGCGCGGGGTACCCGCGGGGCGGCATCGACACCTGCCAGGTGGGGCTGGGCCCGGGCTGGGCACAGGGACCCTGAGCCAACCTGGGCCCCATGGAACCCCCAGAGCCAGCACAGGGACCCTGAGCCCCAACATGGCCCCATGGAACCCCCAGAGCCAGCACAGGGACCCTGAGCCCCAACATGGCCCCATGGAACCCCCAGAGCCAGCACAGGGACCCTGAGCCCAGCATGTCCCACCCTGTTCTTTATCCCGTGGGGGCCCTTCCCTTTCCCATCCATGGATCCCTGTCCCGTGTCCCAGGGCTGCCACTCTCCATCCCTAGGCCCCAGTCCCAATGTCCCCCTGTCCCCAAGGCCTGGCGCTCTGTCCCCAAATCCCATCCAGTGTCCCCATAACCCCGAGGTGTGGCTGTGACCCTGGAGCAGCCCCTGACCCCTCTCTCCTGTGGCAGGGGGACACAGGGGGTCCCCTGGTCTGCAAGGACAACACCGGTGACTACTTCTGGCTGGTGGGCCTGGCCAGCTGGGGCAAGGGCTGTGCTGGTGACAAGCGGCCCGGCGTGTTCACGTCCACCCAGCACTTCCACAACTGGATCCAGAAGCAGATGGGAATGGTCCCGTTCAAAACGCAGCCTCCTCCGCCCGAGCCACCCACCCCCACCATTGAGATAGAGCCACCAGAACTGGAACCAGAACCAGAACCTGAACCAGAGCCAGAACCACAACCACAACCGGTACCAATACCGGTACCGATACCAGAACCGGAGCCCATACCAGAACCAGAAGAAGAGGAAGAAGAAGAACCAGAGCCGACACCACCACCGCCTAAGTTTATAACGATTTCATTCCCTAAAGCCATCCTGCTGAGGTTCTTCACGAATCTGCAGGAGTTCCTGGAGTTTCTGCGGGACAAACTGGATTGAGCAGGAGGAGGAGCGGATCCAGTTCTGGCTGTGGGAGATCACAGCCATTCCCTGCTGGAGCCATGGCTGTGCCAAAGCCACCCCCAGTGCCCAGATCTGCTCTGCCCTGCTCTTTATCCCCCCTCCACCCACCCACCCTGGTGATGAACTTCAGTTTGTTCTTGAAATAGAGTTGTTCCAAATTATCCTCATTTCCAGTCCAGTTCAGGCTTCTGCTCACAACAAGGATGGGACAATCTGGGGAAAATAGGGTGGGGTTGGCTCCTGGTTTGGGGGGGATGAGGGGCAGCCAGGGAGGGAGGGAGGGGAGGATGGGTCTGGTCCTCCACCACCTCCAGCACCTTCTGAGGAGCTCTTAGGATGGCTGGGACAGGGTCAAACTCCCACCCTGAGGGGTCATCCCTGCTCATGGGCCACCAGGAACTCGAGGGTGCAGCAGAACAACCTTCAGGGATCCCAGAAATACCCTAAAACTCATGGGGTTCCATCACCCTGTTTGCAACTCCTCACCCTGGGGGAGGTACTGGACATTCCTGCCTGGATTTTAGGGGATGTCATCCCAAGGTTTGGGGATCTGGGACACAACCACCACCACTGGACATTCCTGCCTGCACTTTAGGGGATGTCATCCCAAGGTTTGGGCATTTGGGACACAACCACCACCAGTGGACATTCCTGCCTGCATTTTAGGGGATGTCATCCCAAGGTTTGGGGATTTGGGACACAACCACCACCACTGGACATTCCTGCCTGCACTTTAGGGGATGTCATCCCAAGGTTTGGGCATTTGGGACACAACCACCACCACTGGACATTCCTGCCTGCATTTTAGGGGATGTCATCCCAAGGTTTGGGCATTTGGGACACAACCACCCTCACTGGATGCCTGAACGAGGACCAGACCAGCCAGGCCACTTCAACAGCGCTGCCACCACTGCTGGTCTGGTCTGTGCCACCCACAGGGTGTCAGTTGTGCTCTGACTTTATGGTTTGAAGCCAATTTTTCTGTATTCTGTGCATTTATTGGATCCTTCCCTTCAAATTTCAACCCTGACTTCCAAACCCCCTGCCTGCTGAGTGGGGTTTGTGTGGGGTGAATTCCTCCTTGGGGTTTTGCTCCAAACCAGCACAGCCTGGAGGTGGAGAGAGGGAGAAACTTCTCCAGCAGAGCCTCAGGTGTGCCATTCCTGGGAAAAGTCCTGGAGAGGGACAGCAATGGGGACAGCTGGAGCTGCCATGCTGGGGTCCTGTGGAGGTGCTGGAAGTGCCACCCTGAGCTGCTGCTGCTGCCACCCAGGGCTGTCCCCTCTGTCCCCAGCTCGTGTCTCTGAGGCTGCCAGGACCCATCCCACTGCTCCTGCTGTGCTCTCAGTCCCCATTGGGATCCCTGGATCTGGGACATTCCCTGTGCTCCAGAGGGACCCCAAAGGTCCCTCCAGCCCAAACCATGCCCGGGTTCACAGCTCTGTGCTGCCCTCCCCCCACCCGAGGCCACCGAGCCCCGCACATGGAACCGGCCCCTCTGTGACATCACCCCAGCCTGGAGACACCACGGGCACCACCAGGGTCCTGGGTGTCACCAGAGGTGACAGCTCAGCTCTGGCTCTGCCACCTGCAGTGCTGGCACCTGCGATGGCTTTGCTGTGGCTGCTGATCCTGCTGGCCCTGGCCGGGCCCGTGGAGGGCACCTGGGACACCTGCAGGTCAGTGGCCCTGGGGGGCTTGGGGACACTCGGGGCTTCCCTGGCACAGCCTGGGCACAGAGGAGCCCCTGGGGGTCCCTGTCCCTGCTGTCCCCGAGCAGGGCAGTGACGGCTTTGTGCTTCCAGAGGCACGTGTGGGCTCTGGCCCATGGTTTTGAACGAGACCTTGGTGATTCCCGAGTACGGAACCTCGCACTCTGCCAAGGGCACAACCCTCGATGTCAACCAGGGGGCCTGGCCTGGCATCGCCAGCATCCAGGTCACCCTGGAGAATGGCACGTGGCACATGTGCTCGGGGGCACTCATCGGCCATCGCTGGGTCCTCACAGCCGCCAGCTGCTTCGTCGGGGCCGGGTAAGGGGGAGCAGGGACAGGGATGTGACCCAGCAGGGACAGGGATGTGACCCAGCAGGGACAGGGATGTGCCCCCCAGCACAATGACAGGGATATGCCCTCAGCACAATGACAAGGATGTGGCCTCAGCAAGGACAGGGATGTGCCCTCAGCAGGGATAGGGATGTCCCCACAGCAGGGCCAGGTGCCCAGGCTGCACCACCACGTGTTGCTCCATTGTTGTATCCATTCCCTGCTGTGGGAAGCAGAGGGCTGGGAGCTGCTGGGCTGTGCCAGCCTTGTCACTGCTCCTGTCACTGCTCTCTGTCACTGCTCTCTGTCACTGCTCCTGTCACTGCTCCCTGTCATTGCTCTCTGTCACTGCTCCTGTCACTGCTCTCTGTCACTGCTCTCTGTCACTGCTCTCTGTCACTGCTCCTGTCACTGCTCCCTGTCATTGCTCTCTGTCACTGCTCCCTGTCACTGCTCCCTGTCACTGCTCTCTGTCACTGCTCCTGTCACTGCTCTCTGTCACTGCTCCCTGTCACTGCTCTCTGTCACTGCTCCCTGTCACTGCTCCTGTCACTGCTCCCTGTCATTGCTCCCTGTCACTGCTCCCTGTCACTGCTCCCGTCACTGCTCCCTGTCATTGCTCTCTGTCACTCCATGGCCTCCAGGAATGTCCTCAACTGGAAGGTGGTGGTTGGGGCCACAGATCTGGCTCAGCCAGGCCCCGCGGCTGAGGTGTTCCAGATCAAGCAGCTCCTGAAGCACCAGAACTACGACCCGGTCACGGCCATGAACAACATTGCCCTGCTGGAGCTGGACCAGCCCGTGGAGTGCAGTGACTACATCCAGCTGGCCTGTGTGCCCGACAGCTCCCTGGCAGTGTCCGAGCTGAAAACCTGCTACATCGCGGGCTGGAGGAACACCCCGGACAGCGGTCAGTGCCCACCCGGGGCAGGGCCGGGCCGAGCCGCGGGCACACGGCCCCAGGCAGGGACACGGCCCCGGGCCGGGGGCTCTGCGGGGACATGGCCCGGGCCAGGCCCGGGGGCTGGGCCCCGAGCGTGGGGCTCTGCCCGGGGGCTGCCACTCAGTGCCCTCTGTGCCCACAGCCCCCAGCCCACGCCTGGTGCTGCAGGAGGCCAAGGTGCGGCTCATCGACGTCCAGCTGTGCAACAGCAGCCGCTGGTACGGGGGGGCCGTGCACCCCCAGGACCTGTGCGTGGGGTACCCGCGGGGCGGCATCGACACCTGCCAGGTGGGGCTGGGCCCGGGCTGGGCACAGGGACCCTGAGCCAACCTGGGCCCCATGGAACCCCCAGAGCCAGCACAGGGACACCCTGAGCCACCCTGGGCCCCATGGAACCCTCAGAGCCAGCACAGGGACCCTGAGCCCCAACATGGTCCCATGGAACCCCCAGAGCCAGCACAGGGACCCTGAGCCACCCTGGGCCCCATGGAACCCCCAGAGCCAGCACAGGGACCCTGAGCCCCAACATGGTCCCATGGAACCCCCAGAGTCAGCCAGGCCCCAAACATGGCAGGGCCCCATCTGGGCCTGGCCCGGTGCCCTCCCAGCCCCGTGTCCCCACCACTGACAGGTGTCCTTTCCCCATCCCTGTGTCCCTGCCCCGTGTCCCCTTGTCCCCAAGGCTGGCACTGTGCCCACATGCCCACTGGCAGCCCCAGGTGTGGATATCTCGGAGCTGCCATTCCCTGCCTGTCCCTGCTCCCTGTGCGGGGCTGGGGCAGAGCCCACCCTGAGCCAGCCCCATCCTGTTCCCAGCGAGGGTCTGGGGGCTCCAGCCGAGCTGGGAATGTGGGTCAGGCAGGGGCTGGGAGAGAGGATCCAACCCTGGCACAGCCTCTGACACCTCTCTCCTGGCACAGGGGGACATCGGGGGTCCCCTGGTCTGCAAGGACAACGTTCAGGAGAACTTTTGGCTGGTGGGCCTGGCCAGCTGGGGCAGGGGCTGTACCAGGGCCAGGAGGCCTGGCATCTTCACCTCCACCCAGCACTTCCACTCCTGGATCCATGCCCACGCCGGCCCCAGCCCGACAGGGCCGGCACCGGCACCAAAGGCCACCCTGAACTCGCCGGAGCCACCAGGACTGCAGCCACCAGAACCCAGGCCACCAGAACCAAGGCCAACACAACCGAGGCCACTGGTACCGGAGCCAGAACCAGAACCGGAACCAGAACCGGAGCCAGAACCTGAACCAGAACCTGAGCCAGAACCGGAGCCAGAACCGGAGCCAGAACCGGAGCCAGAACCGGACATGGACATTTCCTTCCCAAAACACACCCTGAAACGATTCCTCAGGAAGCTGCAGGAGGTGCTGGAGCTCCTGAAGCACAGGACAGGGTGAGGGGAGGGGCAGCAGATCCAGTTCTGGCTGCAGAGGATCTCCAGCAGCCCCAGCCGGGGCCGTGGCTGCGGGGCCAAGCCAGCCCCGGTGCCCAGGGCTGCTGTGCCCTGCCCATGTCCCTGCCCTGAGCCCACCCCACAGATCCTCCATTTGATTTAATCCTTGGATTAAAGTTTTAAAGTTGTGTTGCCCCTGGTGGGGGTTTAGGAGGGAATTCTCTGGTGTAGTGATCCTAAAACCAAACCCGTGCTCCTTCCCCTTCCACAAAAGGCAAAGATGAGGGGTTAAAAACAATTTAGTGTAAACAGCCATGAGATAAGGAATCAAACAATTATTTGCAGCAATATTAATTAGAAAAGGTGTAAGACAAAGCAGTGATTTACATGGAAATCCAGTGATTGGCAACACCCTACCACGTTTTATCCTGGAAGTAATGCCCTTGTCCATGGAAGTGAGAGGGGACACAGTGCCAGTGTCACTGCCCTGGGGTCCTGGCCATGCCCCACTCCCAGCTACTGCAAAAAATTATTCCCCTGGCCAAAATCACACACCCATTATCCACATCTTTTGCCCAGTTTGGTCTTCTGGGAAAAACAAGGATGGGACAATTTGGGGGAAAAGGGCGGGGTTGGGTCAGGTTTGGGGGAAACAGGGAGGGGAGCCAGGGAGGGGAGGGGAGGATAGAGAGAGGGAGAAGCTGCTCCAGCCCAGGTTCCCCAGCAGAGCCTCAGGTGTGCCATTCCTGGGAAAAGTCCTGGAGAGGGACAGCAATGGGGACAGCTGGAGCTGCCATCCCAGGGTCCTGTGGGGGTGCTGGAAGTGCCACCCTGAGCAGCTGCTGCTGCCACCCAGGGCTGTCCCCTCTGTCCCCAGCTCGTGTCTCTGAGGCTGCTGGGACCCATCCCATGCTCCTGCTGTGCCCTTGGTCCCCATTGGGATCCCTGGATCTGGGGCATTCCCTCTGCTCCAGCAGCTTCCAGGGAGCTGTCCTGGCTCTGGGGAAGGTGCTGGAGTGTCTGGAGAAGGATCCTGGAACGGTTCAGGATCCTGGAACAGGTCAGGATCCTGCCCAAGTCCTCCCTTGGAACATCCCACACAGACCATGGGGCCCTGCTCGTTTGGGGTCGCCCTGACCCCTTTCCACCCCAGCTCCCCACAAGTCCAAGGGGTCCCCGAGCCGTGGGCAGCCCCAAGGCCGAGCTGAGTTACTGGAGACGGGGCCAGGCACCTTTGGGGTGTCCCAGCTGCGGGGAGCAGCGGCAGCAGGAGGGTTTGGGGCTGCAGCCGGGGTTGCAGCAGGGCTGCAGCGAGGGGTCCCGGCCCTTCCCGATCTGGCTCTCCCCGAAGTGCAGGCGCTGCTCCAGCAGCACCTTCTGCATGGCGATATCCTTGAGTGCCTGCAGCGCCTCGGGGCCCGGCTGGCCCTGCAGCAGGTCGTAGTTCTCGGCCGGATCCGCCTCCAGGTCGAAGAGCAGCGGGGGCAGGTGCGGGGTGAGCGGGGTCAGCCCGTGGCACGCCTGGTCCGGGGTGGTGCCGCTGTGGAAGGAACCTGAGCAACCCCCTGAGGCTGAGCTCACAGCCTGCTGCTCCCGGAGCTCCGAGCGGGCGGAGCCCATCCCCAAATCCCCAAAAACCGCCCCAAACGCAAGCGCTGACCTTGGGTGAAGTAGTGCGCCTTGTACTTGCCCAGGCGGATGGCGAAGGGGCCGTGCAGGGGGTCGGGGGCCGGCGGGAAGAAGAACACGGCCCGGCGGGGGCTCTGCGGACAGCGGCGTCAGCGCGGCCCCGGAGCCCCCGGTACCCCCGGAGCCCCCGGTACCCCCGGAGCCCCCGGCCCCACCGCGGGGATGCGGCCGGCAGCGGGCACGGAGCCCACCGGGCAGCCTGGGCACGGCTGGCAGCAGCGAGGAGCTGCCAGCCATGGGTCAGCCCCGGGCCCGGCTGCTCCAGGTTATGTTATATTGTATTATATCATATTGCATTATATTAATTGCATTATATCATATTGCATTATATTACATTATATTATAAAATTATAAAACATATAAGAAAGACATTACAAAATATATTATAAGAATAGAAAGTATATGATAAAAATACTGGAAAAGATATTCTAAAAATACTACAAAACCTACTATAAAATATTCAAACAAAAAATATTTAAAATAATGTAGAATATTAGAAAATATTATAATTGATACTTGAGAATCAATTATAGTTATAATGTATTAATAAATTAGTAATAATAATAATTTAATCAACATAATAATAAGGTATAATCAATAATATTATAGCTTTAATCAATTATCATTATTATAATTGATTTAAAATAAATTAATAAAAATCAGCTTTTCTGCATGAAAAATCTGGGTTATTACCCAGATTTTATATTATATATATATTATATATCTATTATATATATATATAATATAATATATATTATATAATATATAATTTATATTAATTTATATTAACTTATATTATATTATATTATATTATATTATATATTTAAGATAAATTAATAAAAATCAGCTTTTCTGCATGAAAAATCTGAATTATTATTATTATTATTATTATTATTATTATTATTATTATTATTATTATTATACAACTATTATACCATTATTATTATACAGTTGTTATACCATTATTATTATTTATTATTTACAATTCCAATAATGTAAGGTAAGTTATTCTAAAGAACTTTACACAAACTGCCAACCCCATCTCCTCCTCAGCAGGACTCACCTTCCCTGACCCGAAGAGCAGCGGGCTCAGGTCGAAGCCGTCCAGGGCCACCTTGGGCAGGGCAGCGCCAGCCAGGGCGGCCAGCGTGGGCAGGATGTCCAGCGTGCTGGCCAGCTCATGGGTCACCCCTGCGCGGGCACAGCGTCACCCCGCTGGCCTGGGTTTGTCCGGGTTTGTCCCGGTTTGTCCCGGTCTGTCCCGGTCTGTCCCGGTCTGTCCTGGTTTGTCCCGGTTTGTCCCGGGTTTGTCCCGGTCTGTCCCGGTCTGTCCCGGTCTGTCCCGGTTTGTCCCGGTCTGTCCCGGTTTGTCCCGGTCTGTCCTGGTTTGTCCCGGTTTGTCCCGGGTTTGTCCCGGTCTGTCCTGGTTTGTCCCGGGTCTGTCCCGGTTTGTCCCGGTTTGTCCCGGTCTGTCCCGGTCTGTCCCGGTCTGTCCTGGTTTGTCCCGGTTTGTCCCGGTCTGTCCCAGTCTGTCCCGGTTTGTCCCGGTCTGTTCCGGTTTGTCCCGGTTTGTCCCAGTCTGTCCCGGTTTGTCCCAGTCTGTCCCGGTTTGTCCCGGTCTGTCCTGGTTTGTCCCGGTTTGTCCCGGTCTGTTCCGGTTTGTCCCAGTCTGTCCTGGTTTGTCCCGGTTTGTCCCGGTCTGTCCCGGTTTGTCCCGGGTTTGTCCCGGTCTGTTCTGGCTTGTCCCGGTCTGTCCTGGTTTGTCCCGGTCTGTCCCGGTTTGTCCCGGTTTGTCCCGGTCTGTCCCGGTTTGTCCCGGTCTGTCCTGGGTTTGTCCTGGTTTGTCCCGGTCTGTCCCGGTCTGTCCTGGTTTGTCCCGGTCTGTCCTGGTTTGTCCCGGGTTTGTCCCGGTTTGTCCCGGTCTGTCCTGGTTTGTCCCGGTCTGTCCTGGTTTGTCCCGGTTTGTCCTGGTTTGTCCCGGTCTGTCCCGGTTTGTCCCGGTCTGTCCCGGTCTGTCCCGGTCTGTCCTGGTTTGTCCCAGTCTGTCCTGGTTTGTCCCGGTCTGTCCCGGCTCACCTGGTGCGATCCTGCCCGGCCAATACGCCAGGGCCGGCTCCCTCATGCCGCCCTCGTAGGTCGTGCCCTTGCCACACTTGAGGTGCCCAGCGCTGCCCCCCCCGTGCCATGCGCAGGGTGGAGGGGCTGGGGACAAGGACACGCTGTCACCAGGGGCCCTGCCACCCTCGGGGGTGGCCAAGGGCTGTGACACACCTGGGAGGGGCACCCCACGGTGGTGTCACCACACAGAGGGAGCTGGGGGACTCTGGGGGTGTCACACTGGTGTCCCAATCCCTGGGGGACATTTGGGGGCGTCACATTGGTGACCCAAACCTCTGGGGACATTTGGGGGTGTCACATGCCTGGTTCAAACCCTTGGGGACATTTGGGGGTGTCACACACCTGACCCAACCCCTGGGGGACATTTGGGGATGTCACATGCCTGGCACAAAGCTGGGGAACATTTGGGGGGTGTTGCATTGGTGACCCAAACTTCTGGGGACATTTGGAGATGTCACACACCTGGTTCAAACCCTTGCGGACATTTGGGGGTGTCACACTGCTGGTTCAAACCCCGGGTGACATTTAGGGGTGGCACACGCCTGGCACAAAGCCTGGGGAACATTTGGGGGTGTCACACTGCTGTCCCAAAGCCTGGGGGACATTTGGGGGTGTCACACTGCTGGCACAAACCTTTAGGGGACATTAGGAGGTGTCACATTGGTGACCCAAACCTCTGAGGACATATGGGGGTGTCACACACCCAACCCAACCCCTGGGGGACATTTGGGAGAGGCACACACCTGGCCCAACCCCTGGGGGACATTTGGGGGTGTCACACTGCTGGCCCAACCCCTGGGTGACATTTGGGGCTGTCACACACCTGGCTCAACCCCTGGGATGTTTCTGTAACAGAACACCAAGCTCACACCCTGCGTCCCCTCCAGAGCAGGACCCGGGGGTGACACCGGGCACTGCCCACTGGGTGCCAGCTGTGCCAGCCATGCCAGCCGTGGCCATGCCCGCCCCTCACCCGTTGTCAGAGGTGACGAACACCAGGGTGTTGTTCTCCAGGCCGTTGTCCTGCAGGGCCTGCAGCAGCTGTCCCACCGAGCCATCGAACTCGGCCAGGGCGTCCCCGAAGGGTCCCCGGCGCGTGGTCCCCGCGAATTCCCGGCTGGCAAACTGTGGGTAGTGCGTGTGCTGGGGGGGAGAGGGCACCGGGATCAACGCCGGGGCTGCAGCCCTGCGGGGACAGCCAGGGACAGCCAGCCCCCCGCGGGGAGGTGACAAAAGCCACCAGCCCAGAGGAGGTTTGTCCCCGAGGCTCAGCGCTGGCACAACGGGGAGCTCCGGGATGGGAAGTTTTCCCTGGGGATGGTGCAGGGAAGGGGAAAAAGCTGCAGGAAGCAGCAGCCTAAAAACACCATCCCAATAGGATCAGGAATAGCAAGCCCAGGTTATCCAGGAGCAGATTTTGGGGTGGCAGGAGGGGAGATGCTGTCCTGTTCTCCCCATGGGACTTGGGCTCCCTTCCCTTTTCCCTTTTCTGTTCCCTTCCCTTCCCTTCCTTTTGTTTTCCCTTTTCCCTTCCCTTCCTCCTTTTCCCTTCCCCTTTTCCCATCTCTTTTCCCTTTTTCCCTCCCTTCCCCCTTTTCCCTCCCTTCCCTTTTCCCTTCTCCCTTCCCTTCTTTTTTCTTTTTTCCTTTCCCTTCCCTTCCCTTCCCCTCCCTTCCCTTTTCCCTTCCCTTTTCTTCTTCCTTCCCCTCCCTTCCCTTCTCCCTTCCCCTCCTTTTCCCTACCCTTTTCCCTTCCCTTCTTTTTGTTTTCCCTTTTCCCTTCCCCATTTACCCTCTCCTTCCCTTTTCCCTTCTCCATTTCCTTTTTTTTTCCTTCCCTTCCCTTCCCTTCCCTTCCCTTCCCTTCCCTTCCCTTCCCTTCCCTTCCCTTCCCTTCCCTTCCCTTCCCTTCCCTTCCCTTCCCTTCCCTTCCCTCCCCTTCCCTCCCCTCCCCTTCCCCATTTCCCTTCCCTTCCCCATCTCCCCATTTCCCCATTTCCCTTCCCCTCTCCCCCCATCCCCACCCGGCTCCCGGCCATGCCCGTTCCCCACGTGGGACGCGTAGTAGAGCAGGAAGGGCCGGCTCTGCCGGGCGCAGCGGGCGATGAACTCGCGGCAGAAGCGGCCGTAGAGCGGCACCAGCTCGGGGAAGGACAGGGGCTGCTGCACGATGCTCTGGTTCCAGAGCAGCGGCACCGCCACCACGCCCTGGTCGCACGTCCCAAAGCACTTGGTGTCAGGGGGAAAGCACGTCAGGTTCTGGCAGGGACCCTGCGAAACAAAACACGGCGGGGCTGCCAGTCCGCCTCTGGCCACGGTTCTCCTCCCTCTGGTTTGGGTCCACTGATTAAAGATTTTTTAATTTTGAGATTTTAAATGTTTTTCTATTTTATTAAAGTATCTACAAATTCATTTCCCACACTGAGCTTCACATGAGGAGATGGTGAGCTCTGTGCACAGAGCAGGGAGACAAAACAATTCCTGCTCCAGCTGGGCACCAAGGACAAATGACCCAAATCTCAGCCCAGGAGCACAAACCCCATGGGCTGGAGAGAGAAAAACAAGCAGGGTGGGACTGCAGGGCCTAAAGCTGGAATGGGACAATGAACTGCAAGATGCAAATGGAGCAGAACTGATCCCAGGGAGAGACCCCGGGAGCGCTGGTGCATTTTGGGGCCATTTTGGTTCATCTTGGGTGCAGCCCTGGCTGGGCTCTGGTGCTGCCCAAGGTGCATCCATTTAGGAGATCCTTTGAATAAATCCCTACTTTATTTAATAAATATTAAATATTATTTAATATTAAATATTACATTTCCTTAATATTATATATTATACATATATATAAGTATATTTATATATAAGTATATATATTATAATATATATTAATAATACAATATATAATATACCTATCTATATAAGCATATTATATATTATATTATTAAATTTACTTATTTAATATTTTATGGGTAAATTTAAATACTAAATGCATTTATTTATTTTATCTATAATACAATATTCAGTATTATTTAATAATATATAAAATATATAATATCTGTATTATATATAATGTGTAATATGTATTATTTATAATTTATAATAGAATATATAATATATAATATATAATATATGATATATAATATATAATATATAATATATAATATATAATATATAATAATATTATATATGTCAATATTAATAATATTTTATGTATGTATATTTTATCTATATTATTAATTTATTTAATTATTAAATATTTCATATTTATCTAAATTAAACGCATAATAAATAAATTTTTAAAAATAAAAAATTTAAAATTTATCCATATTAAATATTAAAAATGTATTTACCTGCCTCTGTTCTATCTCAGCCTCTGAAGGCACCATCCCCACTTGTCCCAGCAGCCCAGGGGGCTTTGCCCACCCCAAACCCGCGCCGGTGCCGCTGCTCCCGGCCGAGCCCCGCCAGTCCCGGCTCACCTGGTCGTGGGAGTAGGGCACCCCCAGGAAGTGGTCGAAGCCCTGGTGCACGGGCAGGAAGGAGCCGTTCTGCCCGAAGCCCAGGTGCCACTTGCCCACCATGGCCGTGGCGTAGCCGCGGTCCTTGAGCAGCTCGGCCACGGTGAGCTCGGCCAGCGGGAGCCCGCCCCGGGAACCGGGATCGAACACGCCCGGGTAGATCCCGGAGCGCACCGGCAGCCGGCCCGTCAGCAGCGCCGCCCTGCAGCGGGACACGGACACGGGCAGCGGGACAGCGGGGACAGCGGGACAGCGGGGGCACGGACACGGGCAGCGGGACAGCGGGACAGCGGGGGCACGGACACGGACACGGGCAGCGGGACAGCGGGGGCACGGACACGGGCAGCGGGACAGCGGGACAGCGGGGGCACGGACACGGGCAGCGGGACAGCGGGACAGCGGGGGCACGGACACGGACACGGGCAGCGGGACAGCGGGACAGCCCGGGACACGGGCAGCGGGACAGCGGGACAGCGGGGGCACGGACACGGGCAGCGGGACTGCGGGACAGCGGGGACACCGCGGGACACGGACACGGGCAGCGGGGATAGCCCGGGACATGGACACGGGCAGCGGGACAGCGGGACAGCGGGGGCACGGACACGGGCAGCGGGACAGCGGGGACACCGCGGGGACAGCGGGGACACCGCGGGGACAGCACTGCCCGTCTGCCCCGGGACACCGCCGGGACGGCACCGCCCGTTTATCGCGGGACACGGAGGGTTCATCCCCGCCCGTTTATCCCAGGACACGGTGGGTTTGTCCTTCCATCTATCCCGGGACACCGCAGGTTCATCACTGCCGGTTTATCCCGGGATGCAGCAGGTTCATCACCGCCCGTCTGTCCTGGGACACCGCAGATTCACTACCGCCCGTTTGTCCCGGGACACGGTGGGTTTATCCCTCTGCCTCTCCCGGGACACGGTGGGTTTATCCCTCTGCCTCTCCCGGGACACGGCAAGTTTCTTCCCCCGTCCCTCCCGGGTCCCGCAGTTCCATCCCCGCCCGTTTATCCCGGGACACCCAGCTCCATCCCCGCCCGTTTATCCCGGGACACCCCAGCTCCATCCCCGCCCGTTTATCCCGGGACACCCCAGCTCCATCCCAGCCTGTTTATCCCGGGACACCCCAGCTCCATCCCCGCCCGTTTATCCCGGGACACCCCAGCTCCATCCCCGCCCGGGCTGCGGTTCCCGCCGCGGGGGCCGTACCGGGACGGGCTGCAGACGGCGGCGCTGCTGTAGAAGTCGGTGAAGCGCAGCCCGCGGGCCGCCAGCCGGTCCAGGTGCGGCGTGGCGGACGAGGGGTGCCCGTAGCTGCCCAGGTCTCCGAAGCCCAGATCGTCCGCCAGCACCAGCACGAAGTTGGGCCGGGCGGCGGCGGCGGCGCCCACCGGCGGCAGCAGCAGAGGCAGGATCAGCAGCCAGGGGTGGTGTCGGCCCTGCGGCCCCATGGCGCGGTGTCCCCCCGTGTCCCCCCGCGTCCCGGTGCTGTCCCAGTGCCGCCCCGGGATGTCCCCGCGCGGTCCCGGGGCGGTGCCGGCAGTGCCCGAGCCAATCACGTGATGCACATGGCGGCACCGGGGCCGCGGGGCGCGCTGGGAGTTGTAGTTCGGAGCGGCCGTGCCAGGCACGGGATGGGGCAGCGGGGAATGTCCCCAGGGAGGGACATCGCAGAGCCACGGGATGGCCTCTGGGCACCTCGGGAATGTCCCCAGGGAAGGACATGGCAGAGCCACGGTATGGCCTCTGGGCAGCTCGGGAATGTCCCCAGGGAGGAGGCTCCACCCCACTGTGGTCTGTGTTCAGGGCTGGGCACTGCCCAGGGCAGCCCTGCCGCCTGTGCAGGAGAATTCCTGGGATTTGTCCCTGCCCGCTCCTCTGGTGCCACTGCCGGGACCCCCGGAGCAGAGCCTGAGCCCTGCTCCTACAACAGGAGCATGGGATGGTTCCCAGCAGCCTCAGAGATACGAGCTGGGAACAGAGGGGACAGCCCTGGGTGGCAGCAGCAGCAGCAGCTCAGGGTGGCACTTCCAGCACCTCCACAGGACCCTGGCATGGCAGCTCCAGCTGTCCCCATTGCTGTCCCTCTCCAGGACTTTTCCCAGCACTGGCACACCTGAGGCTCTGCTGGGGAACCTGGGCTGGAGCAGTTTCTCTCTCCCCACCTCCAGGCCCATCCTCCCCTCCCTTCCCTCCTCCCTTCCCTGGCTCCCCCTCATCCTCCCCCAAACCAACCCCACCCTTTTCCCCCCAAATTGTCCCATCCCTGTTTTTCCCAGGAGACCAAACTGGACACAGTGGCTAACTGGGAACTGGAACAACTCTAATTGAAGCACAAACTGGATTCACCATTGGGGTGGGCGCAGGGGTCAGCGTGGGCAGGGCACAGCAGCCCTGGGCACCGGGGCTGGGTTGGCCCCACAGCCACGGCCCCAGGAGGGAATGCTTGCCAGAACTGGATCAGCTCATCCCGCTGCTCAGGCTTTCTCTCCCTTCAGGAACTGCAGGAGCTCCAGCAGCAGGTTCAGGAATTTCCCCAGGATCTGTTGTTGGAAGGAAACCTTCGAGTAATCCTCCGAGTCATCCGGGTTGGGATTCATCTCATCCTCCAAGTCAGCGTCGGGCTCTTCCTCCGGGCTCGGGAAGGGCTCGGGCGGAGGAGCGTCAGCTTCAGGCGGGAGCAGCCCCATCTGCACCTGGATCCAGGTGTGGAACTGCTGGGTGGACGTGAACACCCCGGGCCGCTTGGCCCCGGCGCAGCCCTTACCCCAGCTGGTCAGGCCCACCAGCCAGAAGTAGTCACCAACGTTGTCCTTGCAGACCAGGGGACCCCCGCTGTCCCCCTGCCACAGGAGAGAGGGGTCAGGATGGGCTGGGCCAGGCTGGGCCGGCCCTGCCCAACCCGACCCCTCCAGGAGCTGCATTCCTGGCCTGGTTCCCATGGCAAGGCCCTGTGGGCACAGTGCCAGCCTTGGGGACAAGGGGACACTGGGCAAGGACATGGGGATGGGCAAGGGACACCCGTCAGTGGTAGGGACACGGGGCTGGGAGAGCACCAGGGCAGGCCCAGATGGGGCCACGCCATGTTTGAGGCCTGGCTGGCTCTGAGGGGATCCATGGGCCCTGTGCTGGCTCTGGGGGTTCCATGGGGCCATGTTGGGGCTCAGGGTCCCTGTGCTGGCTCTGGGGGTTCCATGGGGCCCAGGTTGGGGCTCAGGGTCCCTGTGCTGGCTCTGAGGGGTTCCATGGGGCCCAGGTTGGCTCAGGGTCCCTGTGCTGGCTCTGGGGGGTTCCATGGGGCCCAGGGTGGCTCAGGGTCCCTGTGCTGGCTCTGGGGGTTCCATGGGGCCCAGGTTGGCTCAGGGTCCCTGTGCCCAGCCCGGGCCCAGCCCCACCTGGCAGGTGTCGATGCCGCCCCGCGGGTACCCCGCGCACAGGTCCTGGGGGTGCACGGCCCCCCCGTACCAGCGGCTGCTGTTGCACAGCTGGACGTCGATGAGCCGCACCTTGGCCTCCTGCAGCACCAGGCGTGGGCTGGGGGCTGTGGGCACAGAGGGCACTGAGCGGCAGCCCCCAGGCAGAGCCCCGCGCTCGGGGCCCAGCCCCCGGGCCTGGCCTGGGCCGTGCCCCCGCAGAGCCCCCGGCCCGGGGCCGTGTCCCTGCCCGGGGCCGTGTCCCTGCCCGGGGCCGTGTGCCCGCGGCTCGGCCCGGCCCTGCCCCGGGCTGGCACTGACCGCTGTCCGGGGTGTTCCTCCAGCCCGCGATGTAGCAGGTTTTCAGCTCGGACACTGCCAGGGAGCTGTCGGGCACGCAGCCCAGCTGGATGTAGTCGCTGCACTCCACGGGCTGGTCCAGCTCCAGCAGGGCAATGTTGTTCCGGGCCGTGCGGGGTTCGTAGTACTGGTGCACCAGCAGGGTCTTGATGTGGCGCAGCTGGGCCTCGGGGCCCGGCTGGCTCAGATCCGTGGCCCCAATCACCACTTCCCACCTGGAGATGTCTCTGAGGAGCAGGAGATGGAAGGAGGGGGTGACAGGGAGCAGAGCCAGGGACTGCAGCAGCTCAACTCCCTTTCTGCTCTGGGCACCTCCCTGTGCTGTGGGGACCTCCCTGACCCTATTCTGGGGACACCCCTGTCCCTGCTTTGGGTATATCCCTGATTCTCCTGCGGGGACACTCCTGTCCCTGCTCGTCCTTACCCAGCATGGGCAAAGCAGTGAGCCACGGTGAGCACCCACTGGGGGTGGATGAGTGCTCCTGAGCACATGTGCCATGTGCCGTTCTCCCAGGTGGCCTGGACACTGATGACCCCAGGCCAGGCCCCTGGGTGGACTCCAGCAGATTCACCCGTGTCCTGGGCGGTGTCATCGGAAGAATCCAGGGAGTCGTAGTCGTTGTCCTGAGAATACTCAGCAACCACAGAGCTGTGGTCGAAGGCCATGGGCCGGAGCCCGCAGGTGCCTCTGGAAGCACAAAGCCATCACTGCCCTGCTCGGGGACAGCAGGGACAGGGACCCCCAGGGGCTCCTCTGTGCCAGGGAAGCCCCGAGGGTCCCCGAGCCCCCCGGCGCCACTGACCTGCAGGTGTCCCAGGTGCCTCCCACGGGCCCGGCCAGGGCCAGCAGAACGAGCAGCCGCAGCAAAGCCATCGCAGTTGGCAGAGCCAGCGCAGCAGGTGGCAGAGCCGGAGCAGAACTGTCACCTCTGCTGCCAGCAGGCCGGAGTGACATCACAGAGAACCATCGCTGGAACCTTGGAACGGTGCGGGTGGCAGGGACCGTAACGACGGCGCGGTGCCCCCCGTGCCAGGGCAGCGCCACCTCCTGTGCTGGGCCCAGGGAGCCCGGCTGGCCCCGGGCACCTCCGGGGACGGGGCGGCCGCGGCTCCCGGGAACCGGGGCCGCTCCTGCGGGAGGGAGGGGTCGGATCGGGGAGGAGCGGCCATGGAGGGGCTGGGCCACGGCGATTTGTGTCCCTGTGGGGCGGCTCCGGTGTCACCGCCGCTCCCCTATCCCGGCTCTGATCCCAAAGATTTGTGTTCCCGCAGGGACAGCTCCATTGTTACTGCTGTTCCCCGATCCCAAAGATTTGTGTCCCCTCAGGGACAGCTCCATTATCACCACTGCTCCCCGATCCCAAATATTTGTGTCCAGTGAGGGGCAGCTCCACTGTCACCACTCCTCTCCAATCCCAGCTCTGATCCCAAAGATTTGTGTCCCCTCAGGGACAGCTCCATTGTCACCACTGCTCCCCAATCCCAGCTCTGATCCCAAAGATTTGTGTCCCCTCAGGGACAGCTCTATTGTCACCACTGCTCCCCAATCCCAAACATTTGTGTCCCTTAGGGGCCACTCCATTGTCACCGTCGGTCCCCGATCCCAAAGATTTGTGTCCTTTTGGGGCAGCTCCATTGTCTCCCCAGTCCCAAAGATTTGCATCCCCTAAGGGGCGGCTCTATTGTCACCGCTGCTCCCCAGTCCCAGCTCTAATCCCAAAGATTTGTGTCCCCTCAGGGACAGCTCCACTGCCACCACTCCTCTCTGATCCCATCTCTGATCCCAAAGATTTGCGTCCCTTTGGGGCCGCTCCCCGATCCCAGCTCTGATCCCAAATCCATCCCTGCCCGCCCTGGCACCGGGATCGCTCCCCACGGAGCGCTCCGGGGCCGGGGGCGGTTCTGGGCGGGCTGCAGGTGACAGATGGCTCCGGGATGTCCCCGCGCAGCCGCTGCCACCCCGCAGGCGCCAGCTGGAGCTGTCCCCGGGCGTGTTCCCGACGCCACTTCCCACAGACGGCGTCTGCTCCGCTCCATCTGCGCCTCCCGCGGCGCCAGCAGCAGCGGCAGCAGCGAGGGGAGGATGCGGGGAAGCTCCGGGAGCGGCAGGAATTGGCCCGGGATCACCGGGGATTCGGGCTGGAGCCCACCCGGGCTAATCCCGGGGGCTGCTCAGACCCTAAATCCCGGGATAAACCCATCCAGCCGGGATAACACCGTCCAGCTGCACCCCTAAATCCCGGGATAGCCCCATCCAGCCAGGATAAACCCCATCCAGCTGTCCTCTAAATCCCAGGATAACCCCATCCACCTGCACCCCTAAATCCCGGGACAACTCCATCCAGCCGGGATAAACCCATCCAGATGCACCCGCGCCCCTAAATCCCGGGATAACCCCATTCAGTTGTCCCCTAAATCCCGGGATAACTCCATCCATCTGCTCCCCTAAATCCCAGGATAGCCCCATCCAGCTGCTCCCCTAAATCCCGGGATAACCCCATCCATTTGCTCCCCTAAATCCCGGGATAACCCCATTCAGTTGTCCCCTAAATCCCGGGATAACCCCATCCATTTGCTCCCCTAAATCCCGGGATAACCCCATCCATTTGCTCCCCTAAATCCCGGGATAACCCCATCCAGCTGCTCCCCTAAATCCCGGATAACCCCATCCAGCTGCTCCCATAAATCCTGCACGTGCAGGGTTTTGGATATTCACAAGGATTTTGAACATCCCACAACTTCTCTGTGTGCCTGTGCTCATTTCTTGTGTTCCTGGCGGTGGTTTGGGGTGGATTTTTTTTAAGATTTGAGGTGTTTTATTTTAATTTCTGACATCACTGGGCGGTACTGAGAAGAATTTTTCCCACTTTTCCCATCTTGCTATCCATGGCTAAAATCCCCTGAGCCTCCTCTCCCCTGGGCCGACCATTCCCACCTCGTCCCAGGAGGGATTTTTGGAGATTCTCTCCTACGTTTCCAGGTTTTCCTTGCCCAGGGAAGCCTGGCACGGGAGTTTGGTGGCGGCCAGAATTCCCAAATCCTTTTGGGAAGAGCCGCTTTCCCTCCCGACAGTTCCCGGCGCTGGGCGGTTGTTCCTGCCCGGGTGCGGGGCTTGGAATTCCCCGAACTTCCCGAGGTTCCAGCGCCGGTGCCCGCTCTAGGTGGCAGCAAATCCATGGCTGGGCGGGTCCCTCCTGCCCGTTTTGGGGCAGAATCCCGGCATTACCGAAACCCTGAGAGGATCAGAATCCAACTCCTGGCCCTGCACAGACACCTTAAAACCCCCCCTGGAGCTCTGGGAATGTCACCATTCCCTGGGGAGCCCGGGCAGCGCCCCCGGGGGAAAATCCACTCCCTAAAATCCAACCCGGGATCCAGGGGAGCGGCTGGGTGGGGACATCCTGGGATTCAGGAGTGCAGGTGGATGGGGTTATCATGGGATTTAGGGGTGCAGGTGGATGGGGTTGTCTCGGGATTTAGGGGAGCAGGTGGATGGGTTTATCCTGGGATTTAGGGGTGCAGGTGGATGGGGTTGTCTCGGGATTTAGGGGTGCAGGTGGATGGGTTTATCCTGGGATTCAGGGGTGCAGCTGGATGGGTTTATCCTGGGATTCAGGGGTGCAGGTGGATGGGTTTATCCTGGGATTTAGGGGTGCAGGTGGATGGGGTTATCCTGGGATTTAGGGGTGCAGGTGGATGGGGTTATCCTGGGATTTAGGGGTGCAGGTGGATGGGGTTATCCTGGGACTGATGGGTGCAGATGCATGGGGTTGTCCTGGGATTGGGAGTGGGAGTGGTGCAGGTAGATGGGGCTATCCTGGGGTTTAGGGGTGCAGGTGGATGGGGTTATCCTGGGATTTATGGGTGCAGGTAGATGGGGTTATCCCAGCTGGATGGGATTATCCTGGGATTTATGGGTGCAGGTGGATGGGGCTATCCCGGGATTCAGGGGTGCAGCTGGATGGGGTTATCCTGGGATTTATGGGTGCAGGTGGATGGGTTTATCTTGGGATTCAGGAGTGCAGGTGGATGGGGTTATCCTGGTATTCAGGGGTGCAGGTGGATGGGGTTATCCCAGGATTTAGGGGTGCAGGTGGACGGGGTTATCCTGGGATTTATGGGTGCAGATGGACGGGGTTGTCCTGGGATTTATGGGTGCAGGTAGATGGGGTTATCCCAGCTGGATGGGATTATCCTGGGATTCAGGGGTGCAGCTGGATGGGTTTATCTCAGGATTTAAGGGGGTGGCTGGATGGGGTTTTCCTGGTATTCCCGGCATTCAGGGCAGTGTGGAGCTCATTCAGGGCAGTGTGGAGCTGGCAATGAAGGGACACGAGCTCTGTCCCTGTGTGTTGTGTCACCTGCTCGGGGCCACCTGCTCAGGTGTGGGGACAGCCTGAGCCAGCCCTGCAGGGCTTGGTGGGGACCTGAGCCGAGCCTGCCTGGGCCTTCTCTTGATCCTGACCAAATTCTGTCCCAAACCCTGCCTGGGTCCTGCCTGGATCCTTCCTGAATCCTGGCCAAATCCTGTCCTAGCCTCTGCCCAGGTCCTGCCTGGATCTTTCCTGGATCCTGCCCAGACACTTCCCAGAACTTGTCCAGAGCCTGCCCAGATCCTGCCAGGGTTTTCCCCAAATCCTGCCTGGACCTTTCCTGGGCCCTGTCTGGATTTTTCCCAAATCCTTCCTGGCCCTTCCCCAGCCGGGTGCCCGGGGAGCGCCTGGAATTTGCCAGAGCAGGAGCTGGGAACTCGGGATACAGGAAGGGGGATTTTCCTGGGAGCTGCCAGCCCTGTCTGTGTGCCAGGCAAGATCCAGGAGGGATCATAGTGGGATCAGAGGGATGACCAGCGGGATGCAGGGAGATCAGAGGGATCCCATTCCCAATCCTGTTCCCAGTCCTCATTTCCTGATCCCACTCCCAATCCCATTCTCGTTCCTGATCCCACTCCCATGTGAGGGTCCGGCCCCATTCCCGCTATCCCAGTAGGATTTGTTCCCAGTAGGATTTGTTCCCAGTGCCCTGGGGCCGCTGGAATTGTCCTGGCCCCTCGGGGAACTCCTGGAATCTGGGGGACAGGGCAGCCTGCAGGGAATGGCGCCTCCCTGGCTCTCCTGGAGGAAATCCGGGACGTTTCCCCTCCCTGAGGTAAAAAACCCCAAAAAATCCCAATGAAACCTCTGGATCTGAACCAGGCCAAAGGACAAACCTGGGCGCTGCTCTGAGCCGGGGGTGACAACGGTGACACGGACAGGGGAGGAAGGGACACAAATCCCTGGGAATGCTGGAGCTGTCCAGGGGTGGATGTGTCCCCTCTGTCCCCAAACTCTGGGACAGCTCTGGAGACAAAAGTGGGGACAATGTTGGGCAGGGCTGTGGCAGGAGGGAGGGTGGCACTTGGGGACACTGCCCTGTGTGGCTTTGTCACATGGGGGGACAGGGGAAGGGGACACAGAGAGGAGACAGGGACACTCATGGGGGCACAGTGCAGGGGATGGGGACACACATGGGGACAGGATAGGGGGAGAGGGACATGCATGGGGACATGGGGGGGTGACAGGGACACATGACATGGAGGGCGCAGGAAAAGGAGGTGAGGGGACACATGAGAGGGCAGGGGACAGCTGGAGGGGCACACCAGGGCAGGGGGGGCTTGGGGACACTGGAGAGGGCAGGAAAAGGGAATGGGGACAGGAAAAGGGGGGACAGGAAAAGGGGGGACAGGAAAAGGGGGGATGGGGACATCCAGGGGGGACAGGAAAAGGGGGAGTGGGGACATCCAGGGGGGACAGGAAAAGGGGGAGTGGGGACAGCAGCTGGAGGGGTCTGGGGACACGCAGGGGACAGGGGGAAGGGACATGGGGACGGGCAGGG